ATTTCTCAAAAGAAATTTGTAGGCCAGAAAGAGATATTCAAAGTGAGGGATAACAACGACCTACAACCAAGATTACTTCATCCTGCAAAGCTAAAATTTAGAATCGATGGACATATAAAGAGTTTCTGGAAAAGAAAAAGCTAAAGGAGTTCATCACCACCAAAACAGTATTATATGAAATGTTGAAGGGTCTTCTTGAAGAAGAAGAAGATAAAAAATATGAACAATAAAATGGCAGGAAATACACATCTATCAACAATTGAATCTACAAACAAAATGAATAAGCAGAACAGAAACAGACTCATAGATACAGAAAATTTTTTGTTGGATGACAGATAGGTTGGGAGGATGGGTGAAAAAGGTAAAGGAATTAGGAAGTACAAATTGGTTGTTAGACTGACAAACCTCAAAAGGAAGAGGGGAGGGAAGAGATAAACCAAAGAATTTCTAAGCAAACATGCATAACCAATGGACACAGATGAGAGTGTGAGGAAGGCAGGAGGGGTGGAGGAGTGGGGAAAGGGGGTAATGGTGAAAAAGGGGGGGGCACCTGTAATTCATTCAATAATAAAGATAAGTTTAAAAGGAAGAAAAAATTATTTTTAAAGAACATAAGAGATAAGTGTTGGCAAGGATGTGGGGAAAAAGGGAACCCTCGTGATTACTGGGAAATGTACACTGGTACCGTCATTATAGAAAACAGTATGGAGGTTCCTCAAATAATTAAAACTACGATATGATCCAGCAACCCCACTTCTGGGTATGTATCCAAAGGAAATGAAAACAGGATATTGACGAGATCCCTTCATTTACATGTTTAATGCAGCATTCTTCACAATAGAGAAGACAGGGGAAATAACCTAAGTGTCTATGTATGGATGAATGCATAAAGAAGATGTGATACATACATATATGTATGTATGTGTGTGTGTGTGTGTATGCATGAATACATACACAATAGAATATTATTCAGCCATGAGAAAGAAGGAAATTCTGCCATTTGTGACAACATGGATCATGGATGGAGCTTAAGGACAATGCAAAATTAAATAAGCCAGACAGAGACAGACAAATACTGCATGGTATCACTTATATGTGGAATCTAAAAAAGTCAAACTCATAGCAAAAGTCAAACAGAGAGCAGAAAAGGTTGCCGGGGGTGGGAGTGGCGAGGTGGGGGGAAGAAATAGGAAGAGTGTGGTAAAATAGGACTAACTTTAGCTGTAAGATGAATAAGGTCTGAGGACCTAATGTAAAACATGGTGACTTTAGTGGATAACAGTTACATAATTGAAATTTGCTAAAAGAGAACTTAAATACTCTTACAGAGAGAGAGATATGTGAGGTGATAGATATGTTAATTAACTAGATGGTGGGAATTCTTTCACAATGTACACGTATTTCAAATCACCACATTGTACGTTTATTTATGAAAAAAATTTTTTTTTCTGCCCTGGCCGGTTTGGCTCGGCAGTTAGAACGTCGGCCTGTGGTCCAGAGAGACCCGGGTTCAGTTCCTGCTAAGGGCGTGTACCTCGGTTGCAGTTTGTCCCTGGCCCTGGTTGGTTGTGCGGGTGGCAGCCAGTCAATGTGTCCCCTTTACGTCGATGTTTCTCTCTCTCTCTCTCTCTCTCTCTCTCTCTCTCTCTCTCTCTCTTCCTCTCTCTCCCTCCCACTGAATCTGAACAAAAAATGGAAGAATGTCCTCGGGTGAGGATTAAAAAAAAAAAAATTTTTTTCTTTATTGATTTTTAAAGAGAGAGAAAGGGAGAGAGATAGAAACATCAATGAGAGAGAACATCGATTGGCTGCCTCCCACATGCCCCACACTGGGGATCAAGCCCACAACCTGGGCATGTGCCCTGACCAGAAATTGAACTGGTGACCTCTTGGTGCATAGGTCAATGCTTAACCACTGAGCCACATTGGCTGGGCTCACAATGTACTTTTTAAATATCTTACAATTTTGTCAATTATTCCTCAATAGAGTTTAAAAGAAAGAAGAATGAGAGAGAAAGAAAAAATAAAGGAAAAAACAAAGACAGAAAGAGTAGAACCCCCACCCCCACCCCCGCAATACTGTGATCTCACCTCTAGATCCTTAACTTGATTACATCTACAAAAATCTATTCCTAAATAAAGTCACATTCACAGGGTGCTGGGAGTTAGGATTGGGATATAGCTTTTGGGGGGACACTATTCAAGCCATTAGTTAATAGCTCAACAAAGAACAGATGTCTCTAAAAGAGCACAGTAAATATAGGCTAACACCATGGATTCAAGTACTTCCAAATTTAGAAAATGGGTAAGGAAGTAATGTCAAGAAAAATAAATAAATAAATAAAGAGAGCTGGTTATCAGAAGAGAATGAGGATCAAAGAAGAGAGGGAAAAAGACAAAAACAAAAAAACAATCAAGGCCAGGGGCTCATCTATTACATGTAATATGGCCAAGAAGTCAAAGAAATAAGTGCTGAGATGCCTAAATAGGCATGAATTCACATGAACATACGTGTGCACACGGACACACACTCACAAAGAGAACCACAGCTTAATCGTTAAGAAGTTTTATAATGAATAAATAAAATACAGTTCTTCAGCTTCTCTAGGGAAAAACAAATAACCCTTGGTCCTGCTGAACAATGCATCAAAGAACTATCCAGATGGCCAGATCAAAAGAAAAACTTTAATTAGAAATTGTATAAAGATGTCTAGTTTGCCAAAGGCAATATACTAAAAAATAAAAGATTATTTAACATGGGCCCACCAACTGGTTATAGACTAGAGGATGTGAATGGAAAAAAAAAGCTTTTGATGAGGTCACTGGTAATACAGCCTAGAATATTTTTTTTATTGTTAATCCTCACCTGAGAATATTTTCCCATTGATTTTTAGAGCGAGTGGAAGAGAGGGAGGGAGAGAGAGACACTGATTGGTTGCCTCCTGCACAACTCCCACCGGCATCAAACCTGAAACCCAGGTACATGCCCTTGACTGGGAATCAACCTAAGACCCTTCAGTCCACGAGCTAACACTCAACCACTGAGCCAAACTGGTCAGGGCCAGCCTAGAAATTTTTTAAGAAGCAGACTATTAGAAAGACAACATAGACCTCTTTGAGATCCAATCACAGGAAGTTTATTGGAATAGATTGGATGAGGACAGCTGGAATAAAGATTTGTGAGTAATGGCTAAGATTTATTTCTCTATGAAGAAAAAGACAGACATTGATAGTTATTCAAGAGTATCAACAACTCCTATAATGTAGTTTTATGGTAAGTAAAAATAGAAAACAATCCTGAAAATGCTGCTATCTTTTAAATGATTTACTAGGAAGAAATTGTAAGGGGGTTACAACCAAAACACAAAGTCTTTGGGGACCCTCTCTTGGCCTCTGCTTCTTACTCGGTTTCCCTTTTTCTTGGTCCCGCCCAGGCTGGCCATAGGTTTCACATTTTGCATCTCTGAACAGGGTTTCTGTTGCCCGACGAGTGCACCCCACATACTTTAAGACTGACCCCAAGAATCACCTGTTCTGTGACACCATCCAACTACCAAGCAGCTGCCCTGGAAATCTTGTTAGTAAATGGTTGTATCATTTGAAAAATTGATTATCCTTCTGATTTGTAAGATGAAATTTTATACCATAATCATTAGACAACAGAATCTTAATAGAGATAATAAAAAGCTTAATAAAAATAATAGCTTATTAGATGATTTCCGAAGTAACTGAGTTTAAGCATTTTTTGTTCATTTCTATTTGAGTAGCTATTTACTCTCTAAAGATACATAAGATAAATTACAATTCAAATCTCCAGTTATCATTTTTTTAAGTTAAGAAAGCACAGAGATATTCATTAGTTTGTTGGGAAGTGTAAAATTACCTCAGCATTGAATTTAATAAGCTTCCAAGGGGGAATCATACCCTTCACCTAAATATAGAAAATGTCTCAGTATCTCAAATATTTCAAAATAAAATCTGCTCTTAAAGTTACTTAAATCATTTGTCTGATTAAAAGCAACAAAATATATGGCCTGATGTTCAATTACATTTACTTAGAACTTCATTTACAGTCCACATGAATAAAGCAAGAAAAGCAGAGGTTTGGTTTTATGGGCACAAAGAGTAGTTTTGCAAATAGATTTCTACAAAACAGCATCATTCAAGAAAAATTGGGATTAAAGAGAAGCAATAATAAGAAAGTATAGGGAAAAGGTACACCTAGAACCATGCTTTGAACATAAAAATGTACACAAGTATCTGCAATATATTTTTTTAAAAACCTGTAGAGTATCTACGTACCAGGCAGACACCGGTATATGTCCCCTGCAACTCTCTGAGTAAAGCCAAAAAAATATATCTAGTTAGAAACTCATGAAAGTTACACAAAGATTGTGTTGCTGTTAAAAAAAAACGTTACACAAAAATAGGTATTTCCATTCTTCATATATACAAGCAAGAGCCTCTGGTTGGGCTTTCACAGACCAGCGCTTTAAGGTTTATGGATGATTTATTTGCTTGAAGGTGAAAGCTACTTAAAATTGATCTATTTCTTCTTTTTTTCTTTATCCCCACCCGAGGACATTTTTTGCATTTATCTTCAGATAGAGCAGGAGGGAGAAAGGGAGGAAGAGAGAATCATCGATGTGAGAGAGACACATCAGTGGTCGACACCCACACGACCCCAACCAGGGCCGGGACGAACTGCAACTGAAGTACGTGCCCTAAGTGGGAACTGAACCCGGGACTCTCTGGTCCAGGGACCGACGCTCTAATCGCTGAGCCAAATCGGCCAGGGCGATCTATTTATTCTTCATTGCATCACAGAACTGTACATATATGGAGAACCTCTTCCCAGTATTAATCTTATTAGTAACTATTTATTCACCCTATTACATATTAGTAACTGTTTACTAACCTTGTGGAAAAAGACAAGCTAGGTAAGCGGAAAAATAGATGGTCCTGTGCCCTACCCTGACACAAAACAAAAACGTACACACCTTATCTGTTTCATCCACGCTCATGGATTTCATCATACAAGAAGCTGGCCTCTCATGGACGTGAGCAAGGTTCTGGGGGATGCTCTGAGATGCTGGCATTGGAGGCAAGGGAGCCCGCCTCTTCTTGGGTGCGTCCGACGGCAGGGTGTTTGAAGTGTATGTTTTGGAAATGGTATTGGACCTTGTAAAAGTTGGACGATTATTACTCACTAGAGGGGTTGCTGGGGCACTTGCAGTCTAATAAAAAATGAAAAGGCAAAATCTCTATGTAAACTCAAGATATAAAAAGCTCATGCGATGAAAAACAAATTAGAAGAATCTTATAAAATGATAAATAAGGCAATACTTACTTGATCCCGCCTTTTCTTACTGCGCTGAAAAAAGCTGAAAAACTTTTTATTTTCTTTCTCCTTCATAATGTCTAAGTTTTGTGCTATTTGGCAGGATTCTAAAATAGGAAAACAAACAAACAAACAAAAAACCGCCTTTTTGTATGCAGGGTTGTATGTCCACCTCCAAGATTGCTCTCAATTACTTTCCCTTGAAAAATATATCTAGTTATAAAAGCTACTATTTATGGACTACTATGAACCATGCAGTCTACTAGGCACCTTATATCTTATAAGTCTCAAAGTAGGAGGTAAATTTCGTATCATTGTTCCTATTTCACAGCAGAGGAAACTGAAGCCTAGAGAAACTAAAACACTCGTGGCCAATAATCAAGTAACTACAGAGCTATGACAAACTCAGTTCTTTGTGACTCGAAGTCTGTGTTCCATAAACAATTACCATTTCAAAGTAATAAACATTTCAAAGTAAAAAGTTTCAAGTTAAATGACATAAAATTGCTATATACAGCTTTTCCTTTTGTTGTGTTTTTTTTTAAACTATATTTTTGTGTCAGAGCTCAACTATCATGAAATATTTTATTCTCCAAAACATGAATCATTATAGTTACTTAGTACTTTGTTATATATCTAATAAATGCTATTTCTTTAATTCAATGGTTCTCAACTAGGGGCGATTCCCCCTTCCCACATCTCAGAGGGCAACTGACGATGCTGGGTACGATTTTAGTTGTCATAACTGGGGGTAGGGTGAGGAGAATCTGTTATTGGTATCTGCTGGATAGAGGCCAGTGATGCTCTAAACATACTACAATGTCCAAGACAGCCCCTCTATAACATAGAATTATCTGACCCCAAATGTCAATAGTGCCAAAATTGAGAAATCACACTTTAATGAGAACCGCAAATGTCGAGCCTCAAGGTCGCATATGTAATACTTCATTCTCCAAAAAGTATTTCCTAGAGTCAACTAAAAGAATCTACAAAAAATGACAAATCTAGGCCAGATTGTCTTACTACCATTTCTCACTAAAGGGAGCTATGCTTAAGAATGGTTGATTCTTTGTTGACATCAAGGGATGTACAAGATGAGCCAGGAATGTCTAGTCATACCAGAGAGAAAGCAATCAAAATCTCCTGGGGTGGTTTTGAAAGGACTCAAGAACCAACTCATTTGGTTTCTACTGGCAAAAGTCCACACAATTTGGGTATCTTAACAATAACTCAACAAACTGAAACATATCATATATGTTTAATTTCAAGCATTCACAGTGATACTGATGCTCACTGTTCATCTTTGTGTAACGCTAGGGAACCATCATCTTAAAAATCAGTGAAGGGAAAAAAAAAAAAAAAAAATCAGTGAAGGGAAAGAATCACACTTTCCTGCCTTTTGTGAATAAATTCTATCTAGATAGACAAATAGCTGACATGGGAAATCTGCATTTTTAGAAATATCTCACCTAATAATTAAAGGAATGTTTGTAATAGATTATGACCATTTTTCAACTCCTAATTAACTAAAATATAGGCAATAATTATGTATGTCTAATATCAAAAAACAACTTGTCATTACATGTCTGCTTATGGAAGTACACAATGCCTTCTATGAAGTATTCTTGCCAAAAGTATCTCACCAATTCTGATCACGATTCTAAATTTAACAATCAATTTATAGGAAATACTATAAGACACGTGTTAAATGGCAGCACAGGATGCAAGTAACAACATTCTGAATGTGGAAACTTTATTAAGACAAATGACCTGGTTTACTCAACAAATAAATTGAAAAAAAGAATTAAATAGAAAGATAAAGAGTGGGGGTCTGTAAAATTTTAAAACATCTCTAAGAAACATATGGGTTTTATGGTAAATCATAGTGTAACCTCAGTGACATAGGAAACAAAGTACTATAAACAGAAACTGGTGGGATATAGACAAAGCAGCAGTTAAGGCTAAATATATAGTCTTAAGTAAACTGAATTCTTAAATACATACCTTTTATTTAGGGTAAATGTCTAGTATTTTTACTTAAAAGGAAGGTTTAAAAATTAAATTATGACAAAGTAGGGGCAATCTCAAGAAAGCATTAATTAAATTAATGCAATATATCTTAATAACATATTAAAGGAGAACTATGTTTCACAAAATAAAACTTTATAAATCTGATGCTTCAAATCTTAAATAAGCAGTATGCATTTGGTACAATGAGTTTACTGACAATGCTAACAACTAACAGTAATCAACATGTGGACAGCACAGGATGGTTAAAGATTTTTTACATGCCCAATTTATTTCTTGGAACAACTCTGCGAGGTAGATATTATAAGTTATCTTTCTGTGCTTTTTTTTTTTTTTAAGTTTGAGGATGTAAAGAAAAGGAAGCAGATGGTATCCCCTATTACATAGCTAAGGATCTAGGTAACCAAAGAGTTTAAATAACTTACATCAAGACACACAGACAGTAAATGGTACAACTGAAACTGGTTTCCATTTAAAGATGACTTATACTATCTCTGACTTTTTTTTTTAAGAAATGCTACAGTTTCATTTTAAGATAGAATCTTCCACTAATAGAATATATAGACATGAAATTAAATTTAGTTGGAACAGTAGATGGAAAATTCATATGCTGGTGCAGGACAATAAATATAACCATATTATTTCATATAGTTATTTTTGGTAAAGTAATTTCCAGGAGCCCATTCATCTGCATACCAGTCACCTCCTAAGTCCCACTTAACGCTCTATGTCAGCGATCACTACAACTAGCAGTTAAACACTAAGACAAACAGGGCTTGGACTTACTTAGAAAGCAACTCAGATACTGTAGTTTCCTGCTTCCAGAAGAGAGGCTATAAGTAGTGGCATGCAAAATTTTAAGCCTCTTGATAATATCAGATAAAATTAGGAGATGGGGGTAATTACAGCAATTAGAGTGACTATGTAGATTCTGACACCGTGAAAGGAGCTTTCTTAACTCTCCTATTCCAATGTCTTATGCTTTTGTTCATAACATGTAATACTCTGAATAAACCACATACTTTTTTGGCTGGAAGGGGTATTAGAAATTAATGCATTCAGCACCTTCAAAATGAAGCCAATAAGATTATGGGATTCACTCTGGGTTATGTATGTAGAGAATGGCAAAGGTCGGACCAAAATCCAAGTACAAGTAACAGAATATTATTTCAGGAAAGAACCACAAAGACAACGTTTTTCAACCTCTTTATTGTCATAGAAAGGTTAGGTCCAGACAGAAAAAGCTGTTTGCCCTATCCACTTGTCAAATAAGCTGTCAGTTCAAATGCCTGCCCTCTGATTAACCAGTATACTCTACATAGAAAATTTCACCTCCTTTGATTAGGTTTATATCATGATAGGCACTAATAATACTTATACTATTACTAATGTAGGCTTCATTTTTGGAATTGAGAGGCTCACTTTGCTCTGGAAAAATTTAAAGTTGGAAAGAAAGATGATTCCAATAACACAAAACATACAGTTTATAGTTGTTGTTTTTTAGTAGGGTGGTAATTATTACAGTAATCAACTATCTGAGCCTACCCCTTTTTAATGGGAGAGAGAAGACTCCCAGACTTTATTATTATTGGCTATTTTTAATAAAGTTTTCACTATGAAAGGAATACATTCCCATTCTAAAATTCTATAATATGAAGAAACGACGGATGAAAAGTCACCCATAGTCCTACCACCAAAAGGTAACCACTATAAAATTTTTAATGTATTTTCTTTCAGAAATGTCATATAAAAGTTTTTTTCAACTGTATTAAACACATTTAAATGCTTTAAAAGCTCAGTTTAGTATAAGCCATTTTCCAAGTTATTACAAAATATTCACAAACAAATTAATGGATGCAAAAATTTCCTCCAATGAATATACCCTGATTATTATAAATAATAGTTCAATGGAAATACTCAAAGATTCTTCAAGATACCACCAAACTATCAGAATTTGTACCTAAAGATCCTAGCAAAATTATTATTGTTTTGTCTGAGAACCAAGAATATATTTCTCACATTCTTTGGTTAATAGTAATTTTGAAACGATTATTAAAGTGTAATTATTGTATTAAATTCAGAAATCAAGGAGAGCCTTATAAATTATTTTTTAGAAAATAAAAAACAAAATTATTGTCTAAGTTAAAATTTTGTACACATTAGCAATATTAAGAAAACAGGTAAAATTAGAAGCTTATTTACTCAATAGAAGTAGAGATTTCATGTTATAATTTGTTTCAACTGATTTATGTGTCTTACCTTGTAAAGATGGCTTATTGAAGGCAGTAACAGAAGTGGCTACAGAGGAGGGGGTAAAAGAGGGTAAATTGACTTAAAGATGATGTTTGTTTAAGTATATGACATCACTGAGTTGAAATAGCTGTCTATGGATTTACATAAAGCCATAATCTCAGAATAAAGTTTGAAGTTCTCTATGTACAGAAGATGTAAGTAACTATCTCCTTTACTAAACTTTTAATTTCTCCTAAAAAGATTCATGTTGACTAAAAAAAGCTTGCATTTCTATATTAGACATCGTGCAAACCAACATTATCTAAGATCTCCAAACTTTAATATACTAAATTTTTCTATAGATTAATATTGCAGACTATTTCTATTTAGAAAATTTTTGGAATTAAACAGAGTTGTGTTATAAGCCAGTTGATTTTGGGTTCTGACCTTAGAAAACTATTTAACAAGAAGCTTCCAAACTTGAAAGGTGGTTATGACCCTGATTGAATCATGGTGAGTCTACAGTAATTCATGCTTGGTTAAAACCACAATGAATTTACATGTAAATTTTATTTTCTGTTTAAATCTCATAGCCATAGAGAATTAAGTTAAATTCCACTAAAAAATATTCATAGGTAGATGAAAAAGTGTAAAATGTGATGACAGCTAAGAAAGACAAGTCTTTATTCCAATTTCAACTGAAATCCAATTAAATTATATTTTGTTTTTGCTTCATATTTCCAATGCCTTATATTGACTTCTATCTACAGGATCCATTAAAGGGTCATTATGAACTTGAGAAAAACCATACATAAACATAATAAATAAATAAACATATACGTATATACACATCCTGTCAAATGAATAAAGCAAAAAGTCTTACCTCTGCTGACATCCATGGCATATAATTCTCTTAGTCCCAGGTCATTGAGAGATTTTGTCAAGTCGAGGGGCTCCTGAGACTGATAATCCTTCAACAACAGTGTATGTAATGGATCAAACTCACATTTGCTGCATATAATGGGGGCAAGGTCTTGAAGTGATGCATGTGGACTAACTCTCACTATTGTCTTCTGCGTTTTCTTAAAATTGATCACTACTCTCACAGTTTTCTGAAACACAGATTAAAGCCATAGTTATATTGTAATTTACTGAAATAAACTTTCTACAATGATGTCTAGAATAATGAGAAATCTATGGGTTCATACAATACACAGAATTTTCTATTTTAGTGTAAAATTCTTTTTGTTAATGTTACTTCCTAAATTCAAATCAGATTCTTAGAAACAGTTTGCTTTGTAAATAATCTAGATTTGCCCTGGCCAGTTTGGCTCAGCGATTGGAGCATTGGTCCGTAGACCAGAGAATTGTGGGATTGATTCTGGGACAAAGGCAAGTGCCTGGGTTGCAGGTTCGATCCCCAGCCCCAGTCAGGGTCATGTGGGAGGTAACCAATTAACATGTCTACCTCACATCGATGTTTCTCTCTCTCTCTCTCTCTCTCTCTCTCTCTCTCTCTCCTTCCCTCCCTCCCTCCTTTCCACTCTAAAACAAAATCAGTGGAAAAAATAATCTAGATTAAATTCACAACCCTTATATAAAGTATTAAGTAGATTTAAATCCAAAAAGAAACATGGATATTTTTGCTTTGTTCCTCAAAATATTTACTTTAAAACTAACAAACAGATATAATAATATAGAATTATGCATGTTTTTTTCTATCCTTTATTTTTGGAGTATTTAACTTCTAATAGATTTTTCAGTAAAAAAGGGGTATTTTGGTTAAAACACTATAAAATTTTTTAACTTCTCTCTATTTGAAATAAGTTAAATGAAATAATCCATATAAAGAGTTTAGCACAGTATCTGGCACATAGTAAATTGCAATAAATAAATATTAGGTATTGTGACTACCGATTGTTCTCACTGTTATTATTACTTCTTTGGCTAATTTTAATATATTGGTAAAGAATATTAGTGTTCCTTATTTATATATTTAATGCTAATTCAAAATTATTGAGATTTTTAAGCATCTGATCATTTTAATATAACTGCATTAAATCCTGTATATAAACAGAATGTTTCAAACATGTGACCATGCTAAGTGGAATATACAGATTGCAGATCCTCAAAAGTTTAACAGGTATTTATAAAATTGAAACCCACATATGACCCCATGCTATAGCATAAATAATACTATCTCTATCTAGATAAACAGCACACATATCTAGATATATAGTCTAATACCCTAATTAACATTTAGCATCAATCAAATTTTATAGAAAGCAAATCTGTTTTAGAATTGTAAAAAAAAAAAAATTTTCTCTAAAAATATTTTTAATATGAAGAAAATGTGAGACTCTATATACTCAAGTAATTTGTAAGTGAACTATTAATATATAAACCTTTATATATTTCCTTGTTAAAAATGGTTGATTTTGTTCCTAATGAAAGAGTATTTCTTAAAACCTGTAAGCTCCCACATCTATTACTTATAGAAAAAGAACAATTATATAAATAATTAATGATATCAGAATATTGTGGTTAAAATTTTTTACTTAAAATTCATATATTACAGAACACTGAGCCATTGTATAGCTCAAATAAAAAATAATGTAGAAGTTATTAAGTTACAACCACCACTTACCAAGTAAATGAAGCCCCCAAAAATATTTTAATATATTCTTAAATAAATTTTCAACAAACTTCCTTTTTCTTTCAAGTTTATTTAGAAAAGCAGAGACAGAAGTAATGAACCATAGAAGAAGTGAGCCAGCTGGGCTGCATGGACTCAGGAAACAAGTTGCAGAGGCAGAAGAAGGGCCCTTGGAGCTAAGGAGAAAGAAAGCAAAGAAACACCCCTAAAGGAAGAAGGCACAGGTGGTGAGAAAGAGAGGGGTAGGGGGAAGAAGAGGGAGCAGGAGACAGAGAGAGAGAGAGAGAGAAATTAATTTTCATAATAAGGTTCTAAGACCTTCCTTTACATATAAAATATATTTTTAAAAGAGTAGCACAAAATATTGATCATTCATAATTGTCAGATTCTAATACTGTCATATAAATCACTTTGGAGTATCTAAAATCTAAAGTATTCCCCAAATTCTACTTAATCCCAGGATCAGTAACCAACTAAATCCTAAACAAAGTGGTCTAGGGAAACATGACAGTCATATTCATATCAAATTTGACCAGAAAAATAAATTTTATACTTTATTGATAATGAATTGCAGATAATAGCTGAAAAAGCAACTTAGTATTTTAGCCATAAGATATCAAAACCTACAGTAAAATTCTTACCTCTGGTATTACAGGTGTAGGTTTTTTCTTATCCAAAATTTTTGGCTTTAAAATTACTTTCTCCACCTCCAACATTCCTATTGGTGTGTTTGGCTTAAATTTAATGGGGTTCTTTTCAGCTGACAACAGGTCAATTGTGTAACTTGATGGGTTCAAGTGATACTGGGCACAGAGGAATATCAACAAGTCCATCATAGGTTTACTGTAAAACAAGAGTAAAGCTGATCATAAAACAATTTCATCAACTGTTAAAGTTGACTGAGGTACTACAATATGGTGTAAAGGTCCTATTTCCATGGACTGAGGTATAGGTTGATGATTTACACTTGAGGGATAAGTAGGTGGCCACCAGTGTTTCCACTAAGATATATAAATGCCAATAAAGCCCAGCCAGTGTAGCTCAGTGGTTGAGCATCAATTCATGCACCGAGAGGTTGCTGGTTTGATTCCTGATCAGGGCACATGCCCAGGTTGTGGGCCCAATCTCCATGCAGGAGGTGGCCAATCAATGTTCTCTCTCTTTGATGTTTCTGTCTCTCTCCCTCTCCCTTCCTCTCTCTCTAAAATCAATGAAGAACAACAACAATAAAAAAACATTTAAAAATAAAGGTCAGTAAAAAACTAAAAAACAATTCTTCAATCTAACTAGTGATATGAATCTGGCTACTGGCTTTCAGACAGAAGAACGAGGCTAGGAATCTCACCATTCAGTACGCCAATTTTAATTCAGTACATCTGTTTCCATATGCACCTAATCCTCATTCTCCTAAATGGAGTCCCCAGGTCTCGAGCTTCTCTGGTTCAGTTCTTACAGAGAGGCAGTCTCCTGCTGAGGAAGGGTGGTTGTCCTACATTGTTTGTGCTGAGGTCAAAACACATCGCGTAGATCCCCAAACCATTCCCTGTGTTCAGCTCCCTGCCCCAGCCTCACCTTCTGTGGTTGTTACCCAATCTTAGGCCATTCCCATCTCCATAGGGTACAGAGGTATGCTTCGCAATGGTATCCTCACCTCCCTGCTCCCCCACATACAAGTGATACCCTATTATACACACACACATATATATATATATATATCAGAAAAAATAAAAGATTTGAAGTCGCTCAGTAAAAAAATGTTCTCTGGAATAAGTTTCCAGTCTTCAAAATACTTTCCCTATGTCTTTATTTGATGCTTTCATAATAATATTTAGAATATTTGTGTCCTTCTCTTGACCTAGTATGCTCATACATAAACTTGTCTATAATTGCCCCAATTTTGGCTTTGAATAGTACATATGAAATTTCACCTAGAGGGAGACTTAGCATAATGGTTTTATTTTGATAGCATAGTACTCTATGTGAACAATTTGATGTTACCCACCAATTCTACACTTGGAAATAGTACCTTCTTTTTCTGGTAGTCAGTAACATTAAGAAGGATTAGGCGACAACATCTAGGTAAATACAATATAATTGTAAATACCTAAGCTGGAAGAAGAGAAAACTTTCACAGCGCTGTCCACTATTGTCTATGAGTAAGTGATAATATGCTCAGATTATAGCTGTCTCTCTCTCTATATATATATATACACACACACACACACACACACACACACACACACACACACACACATATATACACACACACATATATGCCAAGTAATACATATAAAATACGAAAATTTATACTTCAAAGATCTTTTTGTAAATGTATCGTTCTTTGAATTTAAAAAACTCAAATGTTCAGTTCTTTAGAAATACACAATAAAAGTGAAGGCAAAAGTAGTTACTGGTGTAAAGTTTGGTTTTGTTTCTGTTGTTAATCCCTATTTTTGTGGCACCATTTGATATCCCTTTATGTACAAACATATGAACATTTAAGGAAAAACATACTTTCCATTGTTAAAAGGTAAGAACAATTTAACACCCTTTATATACATTTCTTATTTAACCCTTCTGATATGCCTTAATGAATTACTGTATTTTAACCTGTGATACATTAATTTTCTAATTTAATAGATAGGGTGGATAATGAACCAAGAATATTACTGGATGTATTTTTGCCTTAAGTAAGCCCTGTCCATTGCTCTTATGCATGTCGGTTAATACACCTTTGAAATAAGCATAACTACCCTCAGGAGAGCACATAATCTTAATTTTCCTGTAATCCAATCCCTGCTTTACCTTCTATCACCTTCATAATCTTCTTTAAGATCCCTCCTTAGTTTCATATGCATGAAAGAAACTGCAAAACTGTCAATTCTCCAAAGCATTTGAGATCTTGCTTCCCAGCAATTATCACCAGTTTTAACTTAAACAAACTCTCATAAGAAGTTTCCACGGGTTTGGATATTTCTTATATTGACAAATCATTGCACACTATGCCAGATTTTACGGCAAAAAAAGGTTTCATGCTGACTAGAGCTATATCACGACCTTTGAACTCAACACTACCTAGATGCTTTCTAGTAAAAATGTCTCTTTGAAAGGCAACTAATAATTATGGAACTTCTTTATGACTATTCTCTCATTCTATAATTCTAGGTTCGGATTTTATTCAATAATTCCAGAAGTCCACTTGGTCTGAAAATACTTCCACTCCCAGAAAGATAAATGCAGCTGACCAGGAAGTTCTGTAACAGACACACACACAGATGGGAATTTAAAACCACATCTAATAACGGCATTTCAAATGTCTGGGAGAAGAATTACATTTTCAACAACTACTATTAGGCAAACTGACTGGCCATCTGATGAAAAAAAAAAGGTTATGTATTTGTCTTCCCTCTGCTCAGCTTCCTGTCACAGCCTCTGAGAGCACAGTCATCTCCCGCGTGGCCAGGACGTGGTGCTCACTGGTTCAGAGGCCCCTGGGCAGGCTGCACACTGTGACGGAAAGTGTGGAGTCTTGTTTGCACAGATTGAATTTGTCATAAACTTACCAAGTTGCGGATTCTAAATAAAGTGTTTCCGCCTTCATCTGCAGATCATGAAAAATCTGGTGGGGATCCATAGCACCCTCATAAATGGCACATTATGACCAGAATGCAAAGTACAAGAAGACGTTCATAGTGGGGAGAAAGCTGTCATAAAGATGCTTGGATTAGAAAAGTCCATACACCTCAAGTTCACAAGAGCATCCCTTCGGCGGACGCCAAACTGAAAGCAGTTAAACATTTGATAAGAATCAAGCCCCTGAGGTTGCTACAGGACTTCCGACACAGGAAGCTGTGGCTCACACCTGCCTCAAAAGCTCATCTAAGTCCCGTGGACCAGGAAGCAATTACGTCCTAATGCCAGGGCAGTGTCAGCTTAAAAAGTACAAATCATTTTCATTTAACGATGGTGAAATAGTGTTCCCACTGAAATATACTTAAATGCTAAAAGAAAAAGTTATGTACCTACCTTATTCCTTACACTAAAGCAAGCTCCAAGTGGACCAGATACGCAAATATGAGGATACAACTCTGGGGTGGGGGTGGGGGGCAAGAAAACAGAAACCCACCTTCGTGTGGTGTACGTTTCAGAAGCACTGCTGTCCCACAAAGCTTCCTGAGAGGATGGAAATGTTCTGTATCTGTGCTGTTCAAGACAGCGGCCTCTCGCCACATGTGGCTATTGTGGACAAGAAAGGAGCTATGAAGTAAGTCTGACAAGCTCAGTGACTGAACGTAACCTCACTGGGTGATCTGAACATAAGTTACTAACTGGGCAGGTCATGATGGGTAGTCACATCCCAGGCCTGGAACTTCCTCCATAAAAGGTTTATCTTTACCTAAGCAAGCCCTGTCTATTGTTCTTGTGCATCTAGATGAACAAATCTTTGAAATGCCAGAGTAATCCTCTTTCCAGACCCCTCTGAACATCCTCAAGAGAGCACATGATATTGTTCCCCATATACCATCCCTATTTCCTGGAAATCTTCTCTCCATTTTACTTTCTATCCACTCAAAGATCTTCCCCCTCCTTAATCTGCCACTAATGGATTTCATATAATCTTCCTTACTTTTCCTTTTGATCCCAAATGCGTAAGAAGAACGGCCAAACTGCCATTCTCCAGAGAAATTTTGAGATCTTTCTTCCAGGCATGTCCTCAGTTTTCAAATAAACTCTCAAAATTTTCTGTAGGTTTGGACATTCTTATGTCGATACTATGGAACAGTTGAAATACATTGAGCTAATGGACTAACAAACTGAATTTTAACTTTCATTTCATTCCCCTTAAGTTCAATTTAAACAGCTACATATGGTGAGTGGCCACTGTATTGGATCTGGGTAGTTCCAGTGCATTGGTTCTCAAAGTGAGATTCACGGACCGGTAGCATCAGTATCACTGGGCATTTGTTAGAAAAGCAAATTGTCAGGGCCCAGCCCAGACCATGGAATCAGGAACTCTGGGAGTGGAGCCCAGCAATATGTGCTTTCACAAGCACTCCTGCCAATGCTGTTGCATACTATAGTTTTTGTTTTTGTTATTGTTGTTAATCCTCACTGGAGGATATTTTTCCATGATTTTTTTTTTTTTTTTTTTTATAGAGTAGGAGGGAGGGAGGGAGGGAGGGAGAGAGAAACATCCATGTGAGAAAGACACACTGGTTGCCGCCCGTATGACCCCTGACCCCAACTGGGGCCGGGGATCAAACCTGCAACCTGGGTATGTGCCCTTGACTGGGAATTGAACTGTGTCCCTTGAGTCTGCAGGCTGACGCTCTAACCATTGAGCCAAACCGGCCAGACCCATACCCATACTATAGTTTTTAAAAGTGACCTAGAGAGAAAAGATAAAGGAACAAGTCAAATATAGCATACATCAAATAATGATAAATGCTATGATGAAAAACAATATAAGGAAGGTTAGGAAATGTCCTAAATAGAAAAATAACACTAGAGGGGGAGTGGATAAGATGAACCAAAGAACTTATATGCATGTATGCATAACCAATGGACATAGACAACAATGCTAGGGGGGTGGGGGTAGGATAGAGAGGAGGGGGTCTAGCGGGGGGAAAAAAGAGAAACATCTGTAACAAAAATAAACAAAAATTGAAAAAAAGAAAAAGAACACTAGAAATTAGACCTGAATGGAGTGAGATATCTGGGGAAAGCATTCCAGGCATAGATAACAAGTGCAAAGGCCCTGAGGTAAGAATGTGCTCTACATGTTTAAGGGAAAACAGAAGCCAGTCTGCTACAGTGAACACCAAGAACCTGGTGAAGATTTG